AAGTTGGAAGCTGTGAAGTCGACACTGTTATGCATGCATCGTCATCTGCTTCATACAATAACTTACTGAAGACTCAAATCCAAAGATAATTTCCAAAACATGTATTTTCATTGGTCAGTTTTGGCAACTGTGTGATATAACTGTATGCTTTTTGTCCCCTTGGATGGTTGCGCTTAGCTGGTGGAACTCGTGGGATTGGACCGCAGAGAGGGACTGGAGGGGAGGATTCCCCTCAGCAGATAAGCAGGATTTGTGTCTGGGAAACTGGAGATTGCAGGCCTGTCTCTCTGAGAATTACAACAGCCACTCAATGCAGCCCTTACTCAAACCTTTGTACGAATCTGAGGGACTCGCGGCGGTGACACATCCTAGAGCTGTTATCACAAACATTGGCTTGGGTCAGCCGTGTTTTTCTTGTAGAGAGGACACAAGAGTCTATTTAGAATTTATAATTTAAATCTATAATTTAAATGGTTTAATTTTTAGAATTTAGAATTTAAAAATATAATTTATTCAGAAATTTAGATAATAAAAGATTTATCAACATAAAGTAGAACATCAAAAAAAAGTCCTTGTTGTGGAAAGCTAAGCTTCCTTCAAAAAATCGCGTACAGTAGAAAGAGTGTATTGATGCGTACATAGTCTTCATGCTTTAATTAGGATATTGCATTATATGCACTAAATTATAGCAATGGCTTATTTGCAACTATGCTATGCTAAACAGACGTTATGCAGACAGTAAGTCACACATTTTGACTAGCTCTCTCTCTCTCTCTTTATATATATATATATATATATATAAATATATCAGAACTTAATTTTTGATTAGTAATATGCATTGCTAAGAACTTCTTTTGGACAACTTTAAAGGCGATTTTCTCAGTATTTAGATTTTTTTGCACCCTCAGATTCCAGATTTTTAAATAGTTGTATCTCGGCCAAATATTGTCATATCCTAACAAACCATACATCAGTGGAAAGCTTATTTATTCAGCTTTATGTATAAATCTCAATTTTGAAAAATTTACCCTTATGACTGGTTTTGTGGTCCAGGGTCACATATATATATGCATATGTAAATATGTGTGTACTAAAGCCATTGTTAAATTTGTTGATGTTTTTGATGTTCTCTTTTCTCATATTTCTGAATTATTCTAAATAATTCAGCGATTTAATTATCGTCATGATGTGTCTTTTTGTATTTCACCCTTGTTGACAAAATTATTAAAAAATAAATAAACAAATAAACCTTTTGTCAACAGACATTTTCAGATGAGATTGCAACTGTTTGGAAACACGCATGAATTGGCCACCAGTGCAATAGAGGTCCGGCATTCTCTTAATATCCTCTGAATGGAGTTTGCTGAGGGCCTTTTTTTACATTGAGCAGAGTTGTCTTGAGGCAGAGAGGATGTGACAGGGTGCATTAACTTGATCTGTCTCTGTTCTGAAGGATGAAATGGCTATCCTTATACATTAGCCTTGAGCTAAATGGCCATCAACCCTCTCACCTATTGTTCAGTCCTCACTGTCAGCCTCACATGCGCGCATGAACTCTACGCTGGTGACCGTTCATGGTTTGTTTCTCGACGGATTAAAAAAGAAACAGCTTTCCACACTGTAAATCGATCGCACCGTGCGAGCGGTAAGACCCTCTCAGATGCTGAGGGGGGCGACCGGATCGATCCCTCTCCCTCCGCTCGATGAAAACAGGGAGACACAAATCTAAATTGAAGTCTCGGGTGATTTACAAAAGGGGGAAAGAAAATGAATCACTGGAGATGTCAGGGGGAACACAGAGATATAATTCAGTTACCTAAGTGTGGAATGACATTTGATTTAATCTGAACTATTAATGCCAGTGAGGTCAAGCCAAAAGAAAGGGCACTTGTCTAGTTAGTCGCAATTAGAGTGTAAATCTCAAATGTCTGTAAGGCGGGGGAAAATGTCATTTGCAGAATAACTGGCTAATAACGTGGTTCCCCTCACCTTTGAGTAACCAGGCGGCGCAGAGTGAATCTAAATCATGCAAGACTAACAGTAGAGTCATTCGAGAAATTTGTCCGCTTTTTGTCATGGTTGTGTGTGTGTGTGTGTGTGTGTGTGTGTGTGTGTGTGTGTGTGTGTGTGTGTGTGTACCTTATTTTGGGGAAAAACAGAAGTAAGTTAAATCTAACAAAACCTCAAAAAAAAACTCCTTTTGGGGGATGTTCCCTTTGTAAAAATGGTATAAAATAAAGTAAATATTATTTTTTTTTCAATCCAAAAAGTTTCCTATAGGGTTAAAGCTGGAATACAATACATGAGCGGATTTTAAAACATTAGGCATCATACATTTGCCAACTTTGTAAATAATTACAGAAAAACTGGGCATCATACACTGAATGACTGAGGATCACGGACTTTTAAAGTCATTCTGAACACAGCAAATGACTGCAGAAACATGTATTGCATTGCTAGGTGCCGTGTGACAAATGAAAACAATATGTTCTAAATTCGGCTCAAAATATCAAACATGTTTGATATCATCCGACTGGATGAAATCCCAATTTAAAGCTAAAAAAAATCTGTGCAAATCAGACATTATGTGATTTTCTCTGAAATCTGTTAACTTGGAGAGTAACTGCAAACTGGCTCTGACAATAATCTGGCATTAGTGCCCAATGTATTCCAGCCTTTAGGGTATAAGCTAGGATTAAGTTATAGTCTTTATAACAAGCTATATATCAAAACAAGAAATGTATCCATTAAGAGCTAAGTAAACGTGTGTGTGTGTGTGTGTGTGTGTCCCGATTTTTATACCAGTAATATCATTAAAAAATAAATTAACGAAGACATTCAATATTTTACAAAAACCTGCTGAAAGACAAAAAGCCTAATAAATTGTTTAATAAAGAAAGTTTACTGTTCTTCTTGTTAGACTGCAATGTTCCAGTTAGGAAGGCAAAGGAGGTCACTTTCTTTATTAAACAATTTATTAGTACTTGTTTATAGTTCATGTTTTTGTTATTTATTTATTATTGATATTACTGATATATTTGTCATGTTGGAATCCATTCTCCAACCTCATGGTGAAAGATGTTGTTGCAGAGATTTTATGCTGGGGATGGACCTTAACATCAGTTTGATAAATAAGGGAACCTCCTTGAGGGTAAATTAAAGCTAAATGTTATAAATATAACCTATAATGTGGTTTTAAAAAAATGGAACAGTCAGATTATTGGTCATGCTGTATGCCTGATTAAAAGATAAGAGATTAGTTTAGGAATCAGTCCTCCCTTAAGTACGGAGTTTGTTTTAAAATGTAACGTCATTACTCTGTACATCGTATGTCAATTGTTTTAAACGTATTTGAGACTATGGTGATGTAATTATACTTTTTATATCTCCTCAGCCTGACACCTTTTTTATATTTGAATGTACATGACCACAATAGAGGTCAGATAGAGAGGCCTATAGAAAATCCTCACAAAAATGGATGCGAATAACAATAGTTCCACTGCACTGCAAATCTCCAGTATCTTTTCTTTGATGTTCCTCTCTGTAAATCCCATCATTAGGCATCGATTCATGCCATGAATCATAGTGACAATACACCACATCCACCCTCTCTTATGGCTGGGGTGCGTTATGACAGTGCATACAAAGGGAAAGATGGAGGTCATTCTCACTCATCCTGAACACAGCACAATACTCGCTGATGCGTTCACAATCTATTCCAGAAATAAAGCAACAAGACAAACTGAAAGCCACTGTTATGTGCCCCCTGTGAGGGCAAGTAGCAAAGCTGTCAGTCAGTGAGGCGGTTAGAGATTCAGCCTTATGGTTTCCACAGGGCTGAAAGGGGGCTTTATAGACAACACTGGGTAAGAAGAGCACCAGAAATTGTGAAAAGTGAAAAGCAATAGTACAATATCATCTGGCACTTAGGGAATCAATATACCATTCATGTGAACATTTTTTTTAATCAATTACAGAAGTACAGACCCATAACTTGCACACATACTAATAATATACCCATGTGCTTGCATAGTTTATTTTAACATTTTTGTTATTTAATGACAAACACTGTTCAGAATCATAATTCAAAAGTACAGACAAGTAATGTTTCACAATACATCTATGTGCTCTCATTTCTCTTATTATGAAGTATGAGAGAAAAGAATTATAGTCTGCACTAATCATCCATAAACATGAATAAACATGATCTGGTTTGCATTAATGACGTGTGAAGCATGAGTGTAGGCTACTGAAGAAATCGAAAAAATAAATAACACATTGTTTCAAATTAATATTCAAGTAGTCATTTAGCCAAATGAAGTATGTGATAATATATTACAATACTTCACTGCATTACTTAATATCATTTTATTTTTTGATTCATCATTTATTATTTATGCAGAAACAGATGGGACTTGTTTCGAATGTCAGATTAAAGGAATAGTTTACCCCAAAATGATAATTAATCAATGTCATTATTTACTCACCCTTAGAAGCAGTGACATTTGACGAGATGTGCTGAACAGCGCCATAATTGATTTGAAAGCTAGTGAATAATGACTTACACTTGACAGACATTGCCACTTTTGGCATTTTATGAAAAAAAGGAGGTTCTACATAAAAATAACTGCAAATGGGTTTTGAAACGACATGAGATTGAATAAATAATGCCAGAATTTTCTCTTTTTTTGGATGAACTGTTCCTTTAATAGCACCAATCACAAGTCAATGCCTTCCATCAAAATAATTTTCCTCTCTATAAATGGAGGTTAAAGACTTCACTCCCAATGCATTCATGTTCATCAGTTTAAGCACGAGCGTTAAGCACTACACTGTATGGGTCATAAAGGAAATAGGCTGGACTGGGCTTCACTAATGACTGGAGTTGTTTAGTCCATCTGTTCTGAATTCCTCTGGGTGGCTGTTGATTGTAGGGTAACAAGATCGTTGAAGAAAATGTGATGAAATAATGCCATGAGTGATGGCCTGATTGACTTTAATCATTCCCAGGTTGAGCCCTCCACCTCCTGTTGTCGTCGCCTCATGATCTCCTGTAGTTCTGTATCCCCACGACCCCTCTGAGAAAAAGAAAGACATTAAAACCCACTTTTGGACTGTATTTGAATGGTTAATCTGCACAAATTCTGTAATATTGCTCTGTGACAGACCTCTATTTGAGCTTTCTGCACAGTGATCTGACTAAACACACGGGAACCCTCATCTCCGCATACGGCTTTCAGCTCATCCTTACTGAGGGAAAATAGTTGCGCCCCGTTCAGAATACCAAGACATTCCACCACCCTGGAACGTGGAGAGAATATTACATCAAGGAGTCATTTCATGAGGAATAAAATTTTATTTAATCGTCTGAGATATACTGCTTCATATACTATGAAAATATTCTGTGGCAAATTCACTAAGCAGGTGTGCAACTTTTTTGATACAGATTCCAGGCACTAAACAAGCTGAAATAATGCTGTGAATATTTAAATGAAGTCAATGAAGTTGTAAAAAAAAAAAAAAAAACTTTTCCTGTTGCAATGAATTAAATTCACATTTCATGTAGGGCTGTGCGATATGGACAAAAAAAACCTATCGCGATTTCTTTGATCAATTTAGCGATTTCGATTTTAATCTCGATTTTGACACACACAGACATGCTTTACAGTCATAAATGCATGTGCAAAGTGAATTTGAAACATATTTCCAAAAGAAAACCAATTAGAGCTTTATCAAAAAGCTGTAACATGTCTCTAGAACAGACATAAGGCAAAATAATCACTAAGTAAAGGTGTAAAAAAATGTCTCTGACGGAAAAAAAAAAAAAAAAAAATCCCATGTCAGACCTATAGAATTACCCCAAATGTTGTCCCAACTAATCAAACTATTCAGAAGTTCATACTGCTGAAATGTTAAGGATTTGAGTTCCCAGCATGCTTTGTAGCATGGCAGTATGCTGTTTGCTGACTTCAATTAAACTTTGTTGTTATTTTGTCGTTATTTGTCAAGCTCATATTTTTACATTTGTTAATTGTGACCGTTCACACCATTTGTTTGTTGAGGCGTACAGTATGTTCAACCCTTTAAAGGGGTCATGAACTGCCTTTGTTTTTTATATTGTACTGGTCCACTTATAATATTATCAAGATTTTTACATAAAAAAAACATCATGATTTAGAAGTAATAGGCTATTTTGTGTCCTGTTTTTAACCCCCCTCATCTGAATGCTCTGTTTGAATAGTTGTGGTGGATTGTAGACTTGGAAGTAAACGCCCAGTGCCACTGCTATGATTGGCTAAGAGTTGTGTATGTTTGACAGCCTACATCCTTCACAGATGGACGCTGCTGTGCCTTAGGTTAAAAACACATAAATAACTCAAAACTATCTGTAATAACAGACAAAGCAGTAGTGATCACCTAATAAAACAGTTACTCACACTTGTGTGCTGCGACATTACTGTTGGATCCAATATAGTCAGCCAAGCATTGTCTTTTAAGTTCAGTCTTTCTGAAAATTCTGCTTTGAATTGTGCTTTGTTTATAAACTAATCCGTGGTAAAATGAAGTGAACAAAGGACCAAGTTCTTACTGATGCAACCTGTAACTTCATTAATAATAAAGTTCATCAAATAAAGTTTATCGTTTGGTTTCTGTGTAGACCTGCATGGTGGCAAGCTCATATTTTTACATTTGTTAATTGTGACCGTTCACACCATTTGTTTGTTGAGGCGTACAGTATGTTCAACCCTTTAAAGGGGTCATGAACTGCCTTTGTTTTTTATATTGTACTGGTCCACTTATAATATTATCAAGATTTTTACATAAAAAAAACATCATGATTTAGAAGTAATAGGCTATTTTGTGTCCTGTTTTTAACCCCCCTCATCTGAATGCTCTGTTTGAATAGTTGTGGTGGATTGTAGACTTGGAAGTAAACGCCCAGTGCCACTGCTATGATTGGCTAAGAGTTGTGTATGTTTGACAGCCTACATCCTTCACAGATGGACGCTGCTGTGCCTTAGGTTAAAAACACATAAATAACTCAAAACTATCTGTAATAACAGACAAAGCAGTAGTGATCACCTAATAAAACAGTTACTCACACTTGTGTGCTGCGACATTACTGTTGGATCCAATATAGTCAGCCAAGCATTGTCTTTTAAGTTCAGTCTTTCTGAAAATTCTGCTTTGAATTGTGCTTTGTTTATAAACTAATCCGTGGTAAAATGAAGTGAACAAAGGACCAAGTTCTTACTGATGCAACCTGTAACTTCATTAATAATAAAGTTCATCAAATAAAGTTTATCGTTTGGTTTCTGTTGACGTAGAATCGGTGGATGGGGCTAAACAGGCAGTGATGTAGAATCGGTGGGCGGGGCTAAACAGGCAGTGACGTAGAAGCAGCCGTTGATCTTCTTCTGCAGAGGCGGTGATTAGGTGGAGCTGTACATTTTGGCATGTCGTTTTGGCAGATTGGCTTCAATATAAGCTGATTTTTAGACTAACGAGAAAGTTTTGCGTTCTGAAACGTACAGAATGATTTTATAGCACAGTGACCTCTTATATGTCAAAAGATCAAGGGAATTTTGATTTCTCAGTTCATGACTCCTTTAAAACTATAGATATCTTCGCTTTGTAGGATCGTTGTTCCTACACAAACAATGATAGCATATTGAGTCAAATTAATTTATTAAAATTAATTTCTAAAATTAATTTATTCTGTTACTAAATGAAAATTTGTTGAACAGGAAATCTGCTGTTGTCTTGACGACTGTATTGGCTGAATTAGCGCAAATTTAAATTGAGTTGCCTTGGATTCAACTTTTGTCAGCAATTTATTTTTTACAGTATGTGTATATTGGGCTCATTAGAAATAAGCACCGTATTCATTCAATTATTTGCCAGCTGTAGTTTAGGATAAAGCCAGTGGTAAGAGTTTATTTTTATTAAAAATAGATGTTTGCAAGATAATGTGACCCTTACAACATTCTTATACTGTACATATTATTATGTATGTTTACAGTACATCTTTATCATAGTCCCCCTGGAGCAACCTGGGGGTAAGTACCTTCCTCAAGGGTACATGGTTCATCGCCTGTGAGGTTTGAACTTGTAACCTCAGCTAATAGCCAATATGTTTAACCACTAGGTTACACCACCCATATATATCAGTGAAAGTGTCACATGTCACAGCTCACGTGTCACTCACGGTCTAGAGAAGCCCTTTGCATTGAGCCAAGCGTGGACCTCAAAGGGCTGGGAATCAAATGTGATGGGCACGGATGTAGTTGAGCACTCCTCCCGAAAGTTTTGAGCTGGGGGATGGGCCTTATTGTCGGTTATCCTCTTCAGCAGTTCACCATTTACCTCCTTCTGTTGGTTGCGGTCTAGAGAAATAGACAGAAGAAGCGAGAGATAGAGAAACAAGCACTGGGACAGAGACACAGTGAATAAGATTGCCCAAGACAGGAGCAATGAGCTCTGGTGGGAATCTGCAAACTATGTACATAAGAGCACTCTCACACCAAATTCATTTCCCACTTCTCTGCATTTTTTCGGCAGACTCTCCCCGCTCTCCATCTCACAGCAAATACAGCGAGCAGATAAGAGGTACGTACTATCTTTATCCCTGGAGGATTTATTCATCTCCAAAACCTCAGCGTGATTTACAGGGACAGCGGAGGTAACTTTGTAAGGATTCACAGCCTGTAGAGATAAAACAAAAGCCAGGGAAAAACAGAGGGGAAGAAAAAGAAAGAGTCAACGCCTGCCATATAGAGTGGGAGAATATATGTGTGCACTTTCCATGAACAGGGTACAAAAAAAAAAGAGTCTGAAAATCTTTTTTTTTTTAATGAAGTATTTTCTCCTTTTCCACAAGTGGTTAGTGAAAGAAAGTGCTTAACCTTCAGAAAATGGTCTGATATATTATATTAACCTATTTTTATTCATTTTCCATGAGGTGTGCAATTTTTCTACCCTGTAAGCAATACTGGGACCTTTCTAAATATACACCCTAACATTTCTATGTAATTTTCTAGCACTAAGATAGATAGATAGATAGATAGATAGATAGAAAATAAAAAAAAAGACATTTAAAAAAAAAATAGGCCAAAATCACCTGACATCAATTCATCCAACATATCTACTAGATTTCACTACATAAGACATTGTATTTGTACTGTACCACTAATGCTAAACTAAATGAGCTGAAGTCACTGTCAACACACCTCCTTTCTTAAAGATCATTACAGATTGCATGTAATTCATAGAACTATAGGCCTTATTAGGGGTAGCGCCATATTTAATTTTTGACAGAAATGTAAATGCTGTAAGGGATAGAAACTGTGCATTGAATGGACTGTACTGTTGTTTAACAACTTGATGAAACTTTCATAAAAAATGTCCATAAAACATGCCATCTAACCTGACTAATGTCTATTTGCCAGTTGTAGTTTGTTAAAGCCGGTGATAAAAGTATATTTTCATTTATAATAGATGTTTGCCAAATGACCCCTGTACCATTCTCAGTGACTCTCGATGTAACTTTTTTTTTATTTCTATGTAATTTTCTTGCAATAATGCTTACACAAAAAGTAATAAGACACGAAAGTTCATGAAATGTGCCTTGTAGAATGCAAATAATAAACCAGACTGTGTGATAAACAATGTTACTGTGAGGTTTTTGAACTGCATGCCAGCCTGGCTGTTGAAGAGAGCAGCACGGTTGTACTGCTGCTCTCCTGGTTTGACCTCTTCTAGCACATTACACGGCACGTAGCCCGACTGACCGCTGTGGTTCCTCAGCAGCCGCCACTGTTTATTGTTTTCCAAGACCTAGAAGCACCTGAGATTCATGTCTACTATTAGTACTGTAAACTGCATGAGTGTGCATGAATCAGTATTTTTTCTGGGACAAATCTATTATTGGGACTTTTCCTTGTTCATTCAACATGTTGTCAAATTTTAACTAAAAGGTTTTGGTGCAGTGGTTGTGTCATACTGTTTCCCAATGATACATCCTACCATTGGGATCCTAAAATGAAATCCCAGTGATACCAGGCTCAGGCCGGGCATGTCTAGAAACACGATTATCCATGTTTTCCAGATGGATTAGCCAATCGGGGGTAATCCCTCTTGATCACTTCAGTAGTTCTCATGTAAATAGAGTGCCTCAGGGTTGGAGGCTGTTTTGAGAGAAATGGCAGACATCTGAAAGTGACAGGTTGAAAGGATGCCTTCCTACATGCTAGACTTCAGCTTTCTAAATTGTTATGGGTATTGTGCATTTGCAAGGGCTTACACTCTTAAACATAAAAGGCTTTTTAATGGCATTTATGGTTCCATGAAGAACAACATCCATGGAACCTTTCCATTCTACAAAAAGGATCTTTATAGTGGAAAAAAATGTTCTTCACACTAAGGGAAATGTATTTTCTATTTTTTAGGAAATGTTCACTAAAAGGTATAAAAATAAAGTGATAAAAGTATATTTTCATTTATAATAGATGTTTGCCAAATGACCCCTGTACCATTCTCAGTGACTCTCGATGTAACTTTTTTTTTATTTCTATGTAATTTTCTTGCAATAATGCTTACACAAAAAGTAATAAGACACGAAAGTTCATGAAATGTGCCTTGTAGAATGCAAATAATAAACCAGACTGTGTGATAAACAATGTTACTGTGAGGTTTTTGAACTGCATGCCAGCCTGGCTGTTGAAGAGAGCAGCACGGTTGTACTGCTGCTCTCCTGGTTTGACCTCTTCTAGCACATTACACGGCACGTAGCCCGACTGACCGCTGTGGTTCCTCAGCAGCCGCCACTGTTTATTGTTTTCCAAGACCTAGAAGCACCTGAGATTCATGTCTACTATTAGTACTGTAAACTGCATGAGTGTGCATGAATCAGTATTTTTTCTGGGACAAATCTATTATTGGGACTTTTCCTTGTTCATTCAACATGTTGTCAAATTTTAACTAAAAGGTTTTGGTGCAGTGGTTGTGTCATACTGTTTCCCAATGATACATCCTACCATTGGGATCCTAAAATGAAATCCCAGTGATACCAGGCTCAGGCCGGGCATGTCTAGAAACACGATTATCCATGTTTTCCAGATGGATTAGCCAATCGGGGGTAATCCCTCTTGATCACTTCAGTAGTTCTCATGTAAATAGAGTGCCTCAGGGTTGGAGGCTGTTTTGAGAGAAATGGCAGACATCTGAAAGTGACAGGTTGAAAGGATGCCTTCCTACATGCTAGACTTCAGCTTTCTAAATTGTTATGGGTATTGTGCATTTGCAAGGGCTTACACTCTTAAACATAAAAGGCTTTTTAATGGCATTTATGGTTCCATGAAGAACAACATCCATGGAACCTTTCCATTCTACAAAAAGGATCTTTATAGTGGAAAAAAATGTTCTTCACACTAAGGGAAATGTATTTTCTATTTTTTAGGAAATGTTCACTAAAAGGTATAAAAATAAAATAGTTCACCCAAAAATGAAAATTTGCTTAAAATGTACTCACCCTTAGGCCATCCAAGATACAGATAAGTCTATAAGTAATCGAAATGACTCCAGTCCATTAATTAACATCTTTTGAAGTGAAAAGTTGCACATTTGTAGTAAACAAATGCATCATTGGGGCATTTTAACTGTCAATTCTGGCCAAAATACTTATTATAATTTTATAATAGTCCATAATCCATAATAACATTTCCTCCAGTGAAAAAATCCACACCTGTTAGACTGTATAAACTGTGCTTGACAGTACATATTTCTCTCCTGATTCAGACGAGACAACATTAGCAACATTATGTATATAGGATGCATTATAGCTGGAAAACAAAGAATTTAAATTAAAAACATCTTATTGATGAATTTGTCTGTGTCAATATTTTTAGCAGATAATTTTGATGGCACCCATTCACTGCAGAGGATCCATCAGTGAGCAAGTGATGAAATTATAAATTTCCGCAAATCTGTTAGTGAAGAAAAAACTCATCTATATCTTGGATTGGCTGAGGATGAGTAATGTAATGTTCATTTTTGGGTGAACTACTTCTTTAAGTGCATACTATGATAATGTGCATTTGCGAACGGAGTATCAATAAGGCATCATAAAGTAGACAGAACAAGATTTATGATTTTTTTATCATCTAGATAAGTTGTGTTCAATATAGTTTCCCTCAGGTTTCCCACAAACTTTTGACCAACAGGATGTTTTTTTTTTTTTATCATTTATGTTCAAATATCGGCCTACAGAGTCTTCTAGACCTTGAGCACTGCATGAGAGCTGTAGTCGTGTTTTCTCTTTTTCTGCCTCCCACACGGTGTACCTCAGACCTGTTCTGCCCTGTTCCCCATCCTCCTCCACCTCCTCACTGAGGGTCATCCGTACCTCCAGCACCTCACCCGGCTGCACAGAGAGCTCATTGGCATTACGTGCCACGAAGTGATAGCGTATCCTAACATGTTGGAGGTCGCTGTTCGACCTGTGTGATAGAAATAGCAACACAGCACAATACTTTGAAGTTCATTCATAAGTGAGGCTACAGCTGACTACAGTTACGTAGTCAACACTTGACATTATTTTTAGAAGTTAGATGTAGTATTTTTAGCCTTGCGATCTCTGCACCTCATGCATATGGTCATATGCTTATAATATGTGCTTTAAAAGTACTAATAAAAGGCCAATTTATTAATAATAGGCATGCTAATAAGAAACTAAGGTAATAGTGAGAATTGGTCCCTACACTAAAGTGTTACCTCTGCATCTGGATAAAAAGTAGAGATTTTATGCCAGAATGGAGTCAGGTTTGTGTTAGTTTGATAAAACAGTGTCTAAATAGCTACTTGGCTGTTGATTAACATTATCCAATAGTTGTTTCAGGGGAAGATTTATTTCATTTTGAATTTATTTGAAAAACCGAGCACCAATGAATTGTTCAAAATAAGGCAAGACCAATGCAACAAAAAAATTAAACAGGGTCACTTTTAATTTCATGTTGACTTTCGTGGAAATCCAGCAGACCAAACAACTTTGTCTAGAGGCCAGTCTATGAACAAACAACTCATTATAACTAACAAGCCGGGATAACAAGCTACTTTGAAAATCCTTGTTTTTCCTTTAAATCCATTAGAAAAAAAACATCTCAGGTTACTTATGTAACCATGGTTCCCTGAGTAGGGAACGAGACACTGCGTCCTCTAGGGGTCGCTATGGGGAACGCCTCGTCGTGACCCGTGTCTGAAGCATACATTGAAAAAACACCAACTCGTTGGCCAGCGACAGCCATGACGTTACTACCAGTGCGACTATAGTATAAATAAGCGCCGGGAGCACACATCATTCACTTCTTCGTCTGAAGCTTGCATCCGCAGCATGGCAAGAAACCTAGAGGACGCAGTGTCTCATTCCCTACTCAGGGAACCATGGTTACATAAGTAACCTGAGACGTTCCCTTTCATGGGAACTTCGAACTGCGTCCTCTAGGAGTCGCTATGGGGAACGGTATACCCACGCCGCCATGCTGAGGGGAGTGCAAGCC